ACTGAGCACTGGGGAGAAGAAAGACAAACAGAAGACAGGTTAAAATCAAAGGAAATCGGCTAGGTTGGATCGGGACCGAGGCAGGACAGTAAGCACACTGATGAACTCACTGCTGAGAACAAGTCGAACAACACCCCAGCACACTTGAGAATTTCACAGTGAAAACAAGAATCCAGAACCTGAGTTCAGAGCAGAAGGTACTGCCTGCGACTCAGACAGAGCAAGGCAGTTACGGCCCAGTGTGCCCGGCAACGGGAGACAGTTACAGCAGAGAACTGGAAGGTGGGGATGTCACAGAACGCCAGGAGCCCCCGCCTTCCAGCTGCCCGGGCTGTGCTGACACACAAGGCCCCTGGTCTCTTTGGAAAGGCACATGCCTGCGACAGACAGAGCAAGGCAGTTACGGCCCAGTGTGCCCGGCAACGGGAGACAGTTACAGTAGAAAACTGGAAGGTGGGGATGTCACAGAACGCCAGGAGCCCCCGCCTTCCAGCTGCCCGGGCTGTGCTGACACACACAGCCCCTGGTCTCTTTGGAAAGGCACCACTGATGCGTACCCTTTCCCCAAAACCCTGAGCGTATTTCCCAGCGTTCACCCTTATGTATGGATAATACCCTCAAAACACAAACCGGTTCCTTACAGATTAAATCTTCAGCAGGGCCGAAGTCATCTTACTACCTCTTTACCATGTTTCTTACCGAAGTGAAAACTAAACGATGCAAATGTAGGAATAAAAACGTATCATGATCTTCTGAATGTTCACCGCTATTTCTAAATCACTGAAATGTACAGAACGAAGACCAGTACGTAACACCAAGTGGATCTATCAGGAAAGCTGAAAACTGTTTACGTCCTTTAGTGATATCATCCTTGCCACATTTCATTTTTATGTTGGCTTCCTTCCTCTCCCTGACACACTGTTGGCTTTTCACTGCACCTCAGTTAAATTTCATATAACTTAACTCCACCTCTCCTCTCAGATGGGCGGCTTTTTGTTGTAGTTTTAGCCTCATTAAGGAGCACAGTAAACACGGGTCACTGAACATTGTATTCCAGCACCACAGGAGCTTTCTGCAAGTGTCACCCTGATCGAAACAGCCTAAAAACCTCAAATATTACAGGGCCATGACCCCTGTCCCACACCGAATTCTGCCCACTTCCCTTTCTGACCGAGATTGACCTTTCTGGAGATTCAGCACCCAACCTCACACTGTCCAGGCTCTGTAGTTCACATCTGCGTGGCTTCTGTTTCGGTTATTAGGTAAACTTCACCTGTGACAGGAAACCAGGGACGGGACCCACGTGAAGTGTGTGTGAGCCCTCATCCGTGGGACGCTCTGGAGAGATTCTCCAGGGTCCTTTCATCCTAAATCTTCAGGAGGCAGAGAGCCCAGGGCTGTGCCCCGTCACCGGCCTCTTCCCTTTCTCCGGGTGGGCTCAGCACTGTCCATGACAGGTGTTGTTACCGACAGTCCTGAGTCCTCAGCGACCCTGGTGCAAACACACGAAGCTCCTCTCAGTAAGGGCTGCCCTGCCCACATCTGTGTCCCCCATGTAACCATCAGTGCTTCAGGCACAGGGCCGCAAACGCAGTGCCTGAGCTGAACTCCTGCAGATCCAAGCTCTGGAGCTCGGCAGAGCTTTTATATCTGATGAGCATGGAGGGGGCAACAAGACCAGCCCTGCAGGGGCCTTAGTTTATGTTCATTTAGTGAAATAAAACTCACTGTTTCTCTACCATCTGAGCATCAGACAACTAGGATTTTAGTCACACAGTCACGCCTATGTTTTCAATACAAACATAAAAATTGTTTTCAATCTTCCGTATTGTATACAGAATTTGAGGCTAAAATAAGTAGTACAATTCTCTGAACACGGCGAGTACTTATTTGACCTTTATTCAGGGATAAACTAGTGAAATGGAAGGATTATCAGAGGGACCGGAGGACGTCTTGATCGTGGGAACAATGACCTTGTCAGTCTTACTGAACTTACCTCCTCGTTTTTCCAGCTGACAGGAACACAGTCAGGGGACACTGATGCAGCCACCCTCATCCTCAGACCTGGGCAGTGAGTGGCTTTCAGTCGACTGGGAGCCCAGAGGTGGTGATCTGCTGAGAGGTCACAGTCATTACCTTCAGGCCGGTGTTGTAGCTGTGGGAAAAGTCAGACAGAGAATCAACACAAACGCTCGTGCAGTCCCACCCAGCAGCCGCTTCCCTGTCCACGGAGCCACGGTCACTGCCCATCACTGGCTGGTTTCCAGCCTGAGGGCTCTGGGGATGCTGGGGTTCATGTTCTCCCTCTCAGGGCTTTGGGTTCTTTCGGAAAGTCTTTCTGTTATCTAAACTCCCAAGTTTTGACACGGTAGGAAAAACAGAGCGAGTACCAAATACACAAGAGAGATGCTGCGGGCAAACTTTCACCCAATGCAAGTGGAGAAGGACAGGAGATCGCTTCTTGGCCTTTGGCTGAGATCAAATGAAGGACAGAAGAGTCTCAGTGGTTCTGAGGCAGGAGTTCCATCCCGCGCCTCCCAGTGTGGGAGCAGAACAGCTGAAGGTGAGCTTTCTACCTTCTCCTGCCCTGTTATTCCCGCTATGCTCGCACTCACCTGCCGGGCATCTACGATGGAGACAGCTCCAAATTCCAGTCCCAGTGGCCGGGGCCGGACCTCACGGTCTCTCTTCCGTCCTTGGACTGGGAGCCTCCAGGCCACATAATGCTGCTCTGAGTCCTGCCAGGGGAGGTCCTTGGCCAGTGCACGAACCCAGTGGGATCCCTGTCCCTCCCGACCACACTGCTCAGCTCAGGCTGTGCCTGGAAGGCTGGCGGGCACGCATCACCCTCAGCCTCCCCTCAGCTTCTCATCCAACTCGTCCTCACGCTAACCTTTTCCCACTCCGCCTGCTTCCCCACCCCTCGTCCACTCTGGGGACTCATCCTCCACTGGTGCTTTCTCTCTTCCATCGGTGCCTTCATTTCTGGTTTCTCAGGATGTGGGCTCAGCTTGGGCTCCTGCAAGACACAGATCCTTCTGTTGTTTCAGCCGCAGAGCCTGCGGTCGTTTGTGACAGCCCCTGGAGAAGAACATGCGGAGACCTCGCTCCAAGAATCCCTCATAAGGAAATCCTCCCTGAGCCTCCAGCCTGACTAGAGACCCCAAGTTCACTGCAACTCATATCACTGCGCTGGGGTCTCGGCCCACTGAGGACATCCTGCTCAGGACACCGTCAGAGACCTAAATATCGACAGAGGACACTCTACCCGAATGCCTCAAAAGTAACTCCATGGGGTCCAACAGAAAACTGACACTGGAACAGGATCTCACGTCAGCCCTGGGCTTCCGCTGAGGCAGAGTGTGACACCTGCAGCACCAAACAAGGCCCGAAGTGCCTGCCGGGAAGACTGAGTGTCTCCTGCCTCCTCTCCTCAGCACCCAGCATGGGGCCGGCACCCAGGACACTCAGTAACTACTTCCTCAGATCACAGGCATGGGGGGACTTCTGCAGGGCTGCTCAGAGGGGAATCTGAGGCCCCACTGGGCTGCAGGCCAACACTTCCGCACCGGCCGGACACCAGGCTGATGAGTTAGCCGGTTACCCTTCCCGGTGACTCTTCCCCATGCACACCGGTCATCGTGCTGAGCAGCCAGAACACGACCGTCACTCTTCACCACCCGAAATGCTTTGCTTTTCATTCTTTCTGAGAAAATCGGTTCACGTCAGTGTCACTGTCCCTCGGGGAGCACCAACCACCCTGTGAGTGCAGAGCCACGCTCACACCCTCCGCTTCCCCCTCCTGTGGGCTGACTGCAGCCTCCACAGAGGAGCAGAAGCGTGGGCTGTGATGTGCGCTCCCTGCTTCCCTCCCGGAAGTGACACGGCGCAGCCTTACGGAGCCTGGGGGACACCGAGACCAGGAGCCGCTCCCTGCGAGGCCCGGCAGCTCCGACAAGGCTCCCCGAGGTGGCAGAGACCGTCAGCCCCTGCTCCCTGCCCGAGACTTCTTCCTCATGCCTTCTTTCATTCTACAAGAACGACTTTCCTTCCACCACGCGCCCCTCTCGGAGCTTCTGCCTTCTGTTCACCACCCAGTCCAGACCAAAGCAAAGCTTGCTGGGGTTCACTTTTATCCACAAGGTGCTACTGGCCAGAGAGCTTTCGGACCCAGGCACATCCCAGGGGAGCAGCCCGCTTGGAAAGTGCACCTCCTGCCACTGCAGGACAGCAGTGCTGACAGCCACAGCCCGGCTCTTCAGGGCAAGGGACCACGCAGCAGGTTCAGTGAACAAAATTTCCCCAGGGCTGGGTCATTTAGGAAAACATGGCACTGATGGAAAGCAGCTTTCCAATCTAGAAGAGGAAAGGAAATGGTCAGAATCACAAGGCAAAGAAGTCAGCTGGCTTACCGTGCAGAAGGCAGGGAGCACGCGGTCTCTGTGATCTTTGTCTTTCTGGCGTCCAGTGTCCGGAAATGGGCAATGAGGGCTTCTGGGGCGTCCTAGGGACACACAGCCAGCCCAAGGTGAGACTCTAAACTTGTCATGAGGAAAAAGCCTTTGCCTTGTGTCAGTCTGATCAGACTGAGCTCTGGTCACATCTGCAAATCCTAACGTGCTCTGCGGAGTCTGAAATGCACAGACACCGACACATGGAAAAATCATTCAGTGCTCCCGAGTGTGACAGATTCAGAGCTTGAGCTGAAAGGCAGTCCGCTTGCAGGTGCCCATGCAGGCAGTACCCAGGGTGGTCTCATGACAGACCCCAGGCTCCCGAAGCGCCTTCCGTTCAGACAAGCCCACCTGACATCACCTCACCTCCAACCACCCTCTTGGCACCCTGGCCTGCCCACCTGGCCTAGCTGGCCTGGGACGTTCCCTTGATCTCCTCTCCAACTCTTACCCTTTTACCTCATCCAAGTTGAGAAATGGGGCCTGGCTTCCCTCCCTCCACCCTCCTCATTCCCCTCACCCTCTCCCTCACAGAGCTCTTGTCGCCACATTCTGCAGGCCTGAAGTTCAGATGCCCTTCTAGCACCGACAGACACTTCCAGAGGATTTCCCTCCTTCTCCAAGCCACACTGGCCTCTCATGGTTCCCTGGAACTGAACTGTCACCGCGTCCCTTCCCTATGCTTCTCCTGCCTGCCCCTCCGTCTCAGGCTGGGCATCAACCCTTCCGGGTTGGAGGCTCCACCGCAGGACACACTGCTTGCTACTGTAAAGTTCTGAAATACGTCACACACACACAGGAAGGTATCAGATGAGTGCAGGACAGCCTTCTGTACATCCTCCAGCTTAAGGAAGCCAGCGTCACCCAGATGCTGCTTGTGAACCCTCACATCTAAAGGAACCGCGATCTGGAACCTGGCGCTTACTATGCTTAAGTGCTTCTTTACACACTTATCACCCCTAAGCAATGTATAGGATTGCTCTACATTCTTCAGTTTCACTAAATGGCTCCATACTGCATATTCTCAAGCAACTTGCTTCCTGGCCCAGCAAGGCTCAGTAAACCACTCACTCACTTCTCTGACACAGGTTATTTATCCACCTTCCTGATGAAGACCATCTGCGTTAATTCCACTTTTGTTGTTCTTTTCATAAGTTCTTTCAGTACTCTACAGACTTTTTTTTTTGGTCCTCGGGATTCAACTCAGGACTTTGTGCCTGAGAGGCAGGCGGCAGAACCACTGAGCTAAATCTCTGGACCTCTACAGCCATTCTCGTGTCTGTCTCCTCGTGGAGACAGTTTCCCCAGTCTTTAGATGAGACTGCTGCACTGTAGCACCCACTCTCCTAGGAATGGACACACTGGCATCCAGAGTGGCTCCACCGCCTATGCGCTCACGGAAAGCACACAGAGGCGCCCGCCATCCCGCCCCTGCCACGTGGTAGGTACCTGATGGCCGTCCCATGGACCACCACATCCTAACACACAGCACACCGCCAGGCATACTCAAGACCTATTACTGCATAAACAGACCTTTACGGAAAGACCTGGAGGAGGGACTGCTGCAAGGTGAGGAGGGAGGATAGAGTGGGCTGGAATGAGGAGCAGCAGGGGAAAGGAGAGCAACCGTTTCGGTCCCGGCCCCCATCAGGCCACTGCCACGGTTAACCCCTCACACGAGGACAAGGAGTCCCACTCGGTCTCCTGCTGCGGGGAGGCTCCACTGGCACTTCCCAGATACAGACGGTGACTGCAAAGGGGAAGGATGGCGCCAGCTGTCACTCACTAGGACGAGACTCAGCACCCCCAACTCTCACCCCTTCCACTTCCTGCCAGTCAGCCCAGGAGCCCTCCAGTGTCCTCCACACTGAACAAAGCTCACCAGACTACGCCTGTGCACCGAGGATGCTTTGCTCTACTACTCTAAGGCCGTCACCCTGACCTTGGGGGAAGCCTCATAATCACCAGCACGGAGGCAGAGAAGCGGCAGGGCCCAAGTGGTACAAGTGTCCTAGTGGGTGACAGCCTCTCCAAGGTGACAATAAGCTGGAAGATGAAAATAAACCAGTCACAAGGAGTGTGATTGGGATAGAGCCATCCTAAGCAGAAAGAAAGAGGCAGGCCTGAGACAGCAGAATAAACGCGAGGTGGCTGGAGCAATGAGCTGGAGAGGAAGACAGAGAGCGGGGCAGAAAGAAGCTATCAACTCGGTGATTCTGTAGTAGCAAGATTCCCAGCTGCCTGCAAGATGCCTTGTGCTTCCCCAAAATCCCCAGAGCTCTGAAAAGATGGGACAATCACTCCCATGCTTAGGCTGCGATGTGACACGGCTTACTTTGAGAAAGGGACACACCTGTAATGCCAGGACTAGAGAGGCTGAGGCAGGAGGATCGCTGTGCGTCCAAAATAGCTGTGGTGGGTCCACTTCTCAAAAAAAAAGAGAGAGAAGAGCGTGATGGCTTAATCAGACCACCAGTGAGACTACCAGTGAACCTAAGGTTTGTTTTGCAGCGAATAAAGACAGTGTACAAAAGTGCAAGGCCAGATAGGCTCTCTTTCCAGCGAAGCCATTGTATGATTATCTAAGCGTCAGGCTCTACTGGCAGATGTGAAGGTGACTACAAGTGACAGTTCACATTGCGTTGTTGACTGCTTTCTTTGTGCCAAGCAGTTCTAGAGACGCCACGCAGACGGACCGACTCCTGGAGCCACACGCTAAGCAAGCAGGCCCTGCTGCTCTGCGGTCACCCAGCCAGCGCTGGTGGAGGTGGGACTCAAACCCAGAGCCTCTGGCCGCAGAGGCTGTGCGATGAGCTGGACAAGAAGCTCAGAGGTAAACCGAGTTCAAGGGAAAATCCAAGCCCCTTATCCGACGTACGGGACGAAGAGACGAGTGGCAGCAAGAGCGCAGGCAGAAGAAAATGGCCCAGACCTCTGGGTCGGGGACGCCTGGTCGGACTCAACTCACAGACGTCAGCGCTGTGCGACTCTGAGTAACCTGTCAGACTCTGACTCCCTCCCTGCCCGCCCCGGGCCCATCTCCTCCTCCTTCCGCGAGCGCCTTGACACCTTCTCCGTCTCGCTCTCGGAGGCCAGCGCAGTGCCATTTCTCGTCCCCGTCAGGAGCTCGGAACGAGACGCCCATCCCGGATGGCACAGAACGCGGGCGCGCGGAGGGCACCAACGCTCGAGGGCGGGGCCGGCGCGGCATGACGTCACTTCCGGCAGGCCCGGGCGGCTTCCGGCGCTGGTGCGCTGGGGTAGTCGTCGTCACTGCCTGCCTTCTCAGCCTAGAATCAGGATCCGCCGTCTTCCCAGCGGGGTTGCCCGGGGGAGAAGCAGTCAGGGGCCGCTGAGGAGGGTGGTAGTCCTCGGCCCCACCTCTGTCCTCTTCCCCGAGGACCCCCTGTGGCAGGACGCTCAGGGCCTCTCCCACCTTCCCCATCGTGCAGGTGTTCTGGAGCGAGGCTGCACACTGGCGAGCTCGCAGAGATGGCATGGAGGGGCCTTGAGGGGACCCTGCTCAGGGCTGGGGACGACCAGAGGAGGCCGAGTGCAGCGCAGCGTCCCTCCCGGGTCTGAAGGGCAGTGCAGGATCTTCGAGTCTCCCCGAGTCTCCCCCAGCCTGGCTGCCCACCGCTGTCGCCTAGGACTCCGTCCATCTCTAAGGGACTGGTGGACACATGGCCTCGCGGGTGGGTCGGAGGAACTGGGGACCCCGGAGAGGTGCTTGTTTTAAAATATTGAGCCTCAGGTGCCTGGTAGCAGCCCATTTTGGGATGTAAAATGTCGCGTTGTGCCGGATTAACTGCAGTGTCTGGGCTGATTTGCGAGGGACTGGTCACTGGTTAGAGCCTGTGAGTAAGTGCACATTTTTGTTGAGAGTATTCAGACTTGGAGCATGTAGTACACCCGGGGCTTGGCCCAGTCCCTTTGGGTCATCATCCTTGGTAGGATGGCTTTGTCCTTGGTAGGCAGGGCACCTGCCCACTCCGGGCGCCTTTATCTCTGTGTTATACTCTGGCTCCCTTGCCCAACCCCAAAGTGCCCGGCTTTGTGACCCAGGGCCTCCCACATCAACTGGAGATGGACAAGGGGGTCCCTTGTACCCGCATTCCTGAGTTATAAGACAGCGACAGCGGATCACTGCACCAAGCCTGGGCCTTCCGCGTGGCCACTCAGGCTTCCTGCCCCAAAGCCGGCCCATGGGCTCGGCCTGCCTCCAGTGCCCCAGTGCCGTGCCACAGCTGCGCGTGGACACCCAGGGCTCCTCACTCTCGCCTGACCATCCCTTCATCCTTTCCCACGTCCCTTCCCTGCTGCTTTCTCCAGGAACCTTCATAAGCCTCGTCCAGCAGTCCCTCCTGTGGTCTCTTGCAGAGGTTCCCAGGCTACAATGGGGAGGTTTGTGGCCCACGTGTGCGGGGACCGAGAGCAGAGCTGAGCCATCACCTCTTCCTGACAGCACCCACCTGCCTCCCACCTCAGGATCAATCAGGGACCAAGACAGAAACCCCGGAGGCCAAGCCTCATTTTGTCCTGAGCACCCCCCACCCCCCAGCTTACTTTTAGGCTTCAGCACATCCAACTTAAGGCCATCGAGTGGTTAAAACTATGACTCACACACGTAAGTTCAGTGCCATTCTATGATGGGCAAATTTATTCTGAGAACATCTGGAACAGGCACTGCCTCTGCAAGTAATGTGCAAAATAAACCAAGATGCTGAACTCCAATGCAGAAAGAGGCCTTTACCCCATGAGGGCAGTGGTTTCTTCCTAGTGTGAAGATGGTGGAGTGGCTGCTCAGGGCCCAGGGTGCAAAGCAGGAACCCAGAGCTGCTCAGGACACCTGCAGACTGGGCTGGGGCCAGGCCGGCTTCTGGAGCCACTTGTCCCGTCTCTAAGGAGCTCTGTAGGGCAGAGCCTGAGCTCTGGAGCCCAGCTGTGTCCCCTGCTATGTCCAAGGCTTAGGAAGTGGAGGAGTGCTCTTGCTCATGGGCTGGAAAGGAAGCAAGGAATCTGAGCCACCCTGGGGCAGGAGGCGGAGTTGGTCACAATCTGTCGAATCCCCTACCTGCCCTGCCTGGCCAGAAGTACCAGGAAGATGTCAGCTTCCGTGAAGATGAAATTCTTAACTCCCAGAAAAACTCATTCACTCTTTCCTTTCTTTTTTGGGGGTGGTGGTGGTGGTGGTACTGGGATGGAACCCAGGACCTTGTTGCTGAGCTACAATTCCCAGCCTTTCCATTTAAAGACAGGGTCTTGCTAAACTGCTAAATTGCTCAGGCTGGGTTTGAACCTTCAATCCTGCCTCGGCCTCCTGGTGTGTATGACCATATCCAGCTCCCGAAAAATCTCAAGTATTTGACTCAGTTTCCAACCTGTCCCTCACCCTCGTTCCCACTCCACAGATGAGGAAACTGAGGCTGAGAGTCTCTTTCTTCAGGTTACACAGCCAGGGAGCAGGACCTCAAAGCCAGGCGGGGCCGCCCCAAAGCCCACTCCCCCACAGGCCTGCTCCTCCGCAGCCAGACTTTGCTGGTGAAAGCTCACAGGTCTGGCTGGGTCTTTACCAGCCAGGCACAGTGCAGGCCTCCAGAGGGAGACTGGCTGGCGTCCATCCCACCACTGGGGATCTTCCCGGAGGACCCACCCTGTACTCTGGAGCCCGACAGGTGTTGCTTCCCTTCCCAGCTCCCAGGGCCGCGTGTGTTTGCAGGCTTTTCTGTGCTTGTGATGGGTGGAGACCTGGGTGCTGTGACGTCATGGCCCTGCGCAGGTGGCTCCTGTGCACACACGGCCCCTGCTGTGGTTCACTCACTCCCGCCTGAGGCAGAGCCTGCACTCGCCTGGCTCCTGGGGTCAGCCTCTGTACACTGTGTCCCCGTGCCCGGGGCCTCCCTTCCGTTCCCCAAAGCCCAGCTTGTCCCCTCGGGAACTCTGCTCCTCCCACTCCCTCTGCCCGGTGCTGATCCCCAGCCCATCCTCCCCGGCAGCACCTTCTGGTGCCCAGTCCTCAGGCTCCATGTCACCTCCTCCTGGGACCTTCGCTGGCCCCGTGGAGTTCTGTTCCTCATCCCTGTCACTTGCTCCACGACACCGGTGAGTCCGTCGCTCCACGATCTGCCAGGAAGGGACTTGGCCACATCTGTTCACTGTCTTGCCCTCCAAGGATGCCTGGCACGAAGTACGCAGCCAGGAACTGCTGCCTAGCAGCAGGGTGCCTGAGACCGCCCCTGCCAGTGGCCCTGATGGCATCGTTTGGCGGAAGTGGGGCGAGACAGACGAGACTTAGGGACATCGGAGATGCTAAGGTCTGGAAAGGCGAGTCGGCCCCTAGTGTGGCCTCGGGCTTAGGTCCCCGGGGGCACAGGGATGCGTCCACTTCTGATGTCAGGTGGAGTTCTGCAGTCACTAGGAAACTAGGAGGGAGTCAGATTCTGCCCGCGAGGAAAGCCCTACTCTGTCACCCCTGCCACCAGCATGTGACGAAAGTTACTAGGATCCCCAACTGCCTGCACCGCCCCCCAGCATCTCCCTCTCCCCACTTACCTGCCCGGTGCTTTATTGGAAGGGCCTCTGTTGTTCCTTCCTGGCTCTGCCACATACTTGGAGTCACCATCTACAACAAGAGGGAGGTGCCATCAGGGCCGGTGTGTCCAGCCCAGCTCCAACGCCCACCATGGCTCCCCTGGGCCTGCCAGGGGAGACACAAGTGCCTCAGCTAGGCCTGGTGAGCTGGGCCCAGGCCCCACCCCTGGATGAATCCATTTAGTCCCCTCCACAGGCCCTCACCTCATCAGGGCCCCGCCTGCATTCTGGCCTCACCGCCGGCCACACCGCCTTGCTTGTCACACCCACCAGCTGCAGGGACAGCCACGCTGCTCCCAGCCAGGAGCTTCTCACCCTTCCCTGCCTGCCCTCCATTCCTTTTCCTGAGGCTGAGCTTTTAGGCCCCCTTCTCAGGAAGCCTTCCTAGACAGCATGGTCCACGCTGTCCTCCTGATATCCAATATGTGACATCAGAACCTCTTACATAACCACTCGGGTGTCATTGGTGCTGGATTTCCTAGCTGTTCTTAGCTTCCTGGTGGAAGGTGCTGGGTGTTTCACACCTGCATCTACAGGCTGGACCTCCAGAACAGAAGGATGAGCAATGCTTGGTAAACTCATGGTGTAAATTCTTTTGGGGGTACTGGGAATCAAACTCAGGAGCTTGCGCTTGCCAGGTGGGCACGGTACCGCTGAGCTGTATCCCTGGCCCTGACTACTAAATTAGTCCATTGACTGGTTTGGCATAGTTCAGGGTGTGGATAATGAGAAGGCTCACACTGGGTGTGAGCGCTACCCGCCCTAAGGCCAGATACCCTGGACAGAACCTAAGGGACAGAAAGAGGCTGTTGCTGCTTACTGCTTGCTGCTTCACTGCTTTGCTGACTTCTGCCTCTAGTGAACTGTTTCTCCTCGGCAACACCCCTCTGCCGTGCCACTTGGCCTTGGATCCAGCTGACTGTGGACTGAAACCTGTGAGCCAAACTGTGAGCCAAAATAAACCTTTCCTCCTTGAACTTCAGGTGTCAGGTATTTTGTCTCTAATGAGAAAAGCAACTGAGACGAATACGTGCATGCATAGACACATAACAGACGATTAGATGTGCATGAGTGGGCAAGTGGTACATGGATGGAAAGAGAGGTAAATGTGTGGATGGTTGGGTGGATGGATGCACGAGTGGATGGGTGATTAGATGGAAGGGTGGGCGAGTAGGTGAATGAAGGGAGAATCGACTGGATGAAAGATTAAGTGGATGAATGAAGAATGGCGTTAGCCATCATTTCTGGTTCCCTAACGAAGGCAGGAAGGACGTGAGTGTGTCCAGCGCCACATTCCGGGATTCAGCACGAGCCCACGTTTGCAGTGAGGACCCCTTGGCTCACGCCTGTCCTGCCTGCTATGAGGCGATGGGGCTTCTGCTTCCCTTCCGACTCTTGGCTCCCATTTCCCTTTTACATCTCAGCTCTGGGGTTTTGTTTTTTCTTCTTCTCCACCCAAGAAATTCACACTCTTTTTTTCATGCCCTCTGCAAAGAAAGAACAGAAACCTGACCGCCTATGACTGTTGCTGACCACCTCTCATTTCCTAGCTCTCTCTGTGGCTTTGTACCTGAGATTTCAATCGTTCCCACAGCAGCATGAATTAGCCCCGCTGTTCAGGTGAGGGAGCTGAGGCTCGGGGAACTGAGGAAGCTGACTCCAAGTCACCCAGCTAGAAACACGGAGCTGGGCCGCAGTCAGTCTGCTGGCTCCAGTGTGCCTCCTGGCAGGGCAGGAAAGACTCTGGCAGTGAGGGGTCCTGGATGAGGAGCAGTGTGGCAGCAAAGGAAACCTGGCGGCCTCTTACTAGCTGCCTTGGGCCGGTAGCTTAACCTTTCTGTGCCTGGTTTCCTCCCCATGAAATGTGGCGAGAACCCCCATCTCTCAGAATTGGGGGGGATTGGAGAAGACTACAGTTCACGTCTGTGCGTATGTAGAGGCTCGCTTGTATTTAAAATTCTTCTTAAACCATTGGAGTCTCAGCGATATTTTTCTCATTTATTACATTTTTGACTCAATAGAATTTAAGCCAGACATGGCGCTACACGCCTATAATTCCAGCACTCTGCAAGGCTGAGGCAGGAGGATTGCAAGTTTAAGCCCAGGCAGGATAACCTAGGAAGACCCTATGGGGGGAAGAAGGCTTTATATTTTGAGAACTTGGTTTGCAGCCATATTAATTTATTAAAATAAATGGTTGTTGGACATTTCACCCATACGCGAGAGCGACGCGCGGGGATCGTCCGCCTCCTGGGCCGCAGCGGAGAGCGCGGTCTGACTTCGCCCCTTCCTCTGCGCTCCCCTGGCCCCTAGGGACGCACCTGTCACCCCCCACACGGCCCTGTCCTCCGCGCGGGCCGCGCGTCGCG